TATATATATATATTTATTTATTTAGAAAGCAACTAGCCTTCGCTGCTGTATCAACACACCTAACTGCAGCATGGACTTTGAACAACACTTCTCAATGAGCATGAAGGTTGAGACCGCACTTTGTTCGCTTCTTTGTATGACTTGATGTAGCCAACGTGATCTTTTCTCAGTTCAGACAAAAACCAAGAATCGAGATTGAATAGAGGTGCACAAGGACAGGAAGAAAGGACATGAGTGTAGCTTTCTCTTTATATGGGTTCATGGAAGACATGAATAGGAGCAGCTGGAGACGAATCCAGATGAGTCTGCAGAGAAAGTCGACGCAGATTCATTTGGCAACGGCCCCACAAATGATTCTCGGCTGCAGGAAGGTACTAGTACTTATAGGATGTGTTTTTGGGTGCCCAAAAATTGATTCAGACATGATAAGGACATCAGTTTCCAAGACTTGTGGACAAGTTGCACACCTAAGCTTCAATGTTTCTCATTTGTCCATCAAGAAGTCAGCTTCCGACATACTTGGAATTTGCTTGACTGACCTTACTTTCAATCCGTCAGGATGCTCCACCTGATTCACCTGCGAAAGCAGCTGCAAAAGGTGAAGCCGACACTGGGTCTTTCACGAAGCTAACGCATGCAGCAGAGGCATTTGCATCACATGCTGCCTCACAAGCTGCTGGCCTTTTCTCCTACAAGAAAGCCGGGGAAGAGAAAGCTCAGGACATGTTGATATTGTGGTGCAGAATCATTCGTTTGCAGTTGGCAGTAAAGCCATCAGAGATATGCATCGAGTGTTCAATGCAGTCAGCAACTGCGACTTTGCTTCTTGGTTTGCTAAATTCCTGTCCCAGTACAGTAAGCTTATTGCGGCACCAGTATGGGATGATTGATTTGGATCAGGAGTTTGATTCAAGTCCAAATGGCAACAGCGCAGATTCAGTTGACAAATGTCCTGCGACTGATACCTAGCTGCACAAAACTGCTCCAACTCTGACATGTTAAATCGTTCAGAACAGGTCTGCAGTCCGCAATGCATGGCTGCCTCACAACAGATCGTAACTTAAGAGTTTTGTTGGCTACCTTCATACATGACCAAATCTGAGGATGCCACTCCTGATGCACCTGCAAGAGCAGCTGCAGATGGCGGCGACGCTGGATCTTTCACGAAGTTAACGCATGCAGCAGAGGCATTTGCATCACATGCTGCCTCACAAGCTGCTGGCCTTTTCTCCTACAAGAAAGCCGGGGAAGAGAAAGCTCAGGACATGTGGAGATTATTTTGCTGAATCAATTGTATGCATGTACAGCCGTCAGACATTTGCATAGAGTGGTTAATGCAGTCAGCAACTGGTGCCAATCCAATTTGCCTCTTGCTTTGCTGGAGTTGTGGTATAGTTTATTGCGGAAACAGTGTGGGATGATCGATTTGAGAATCAGGAGCAGTCGGATGCCAATGGCAACGACCGAAGTTCCATTGGGAAAGAACCCGTGACTGATACCTAGCTGCAGCAATCTGTTGATTCATGCGGAAGAGGTTCTGGTTGTTCGTCAGTCAGTACCTTACTACAATCAGTACCTTACTACATGTGTTCATATGTCTTCTATTTGTTTATGTGTTATTGTTGGCTGTTCTTCATTGTTTTTGCTTCCTGCTTTGAGGATGCTTCTGATTCACCTGCGAAAGCAGCAGCAGACAGCAGTGAAGCTGGGTCTTTCACAAAGTTAACGCATGCAGCAGAGGCGCTGGCATCACATGCTGCGTCACAAGCTGCGGGCCTTTTCTCCTACAAGAAAGCAGGGGAAGAGAAATCTCAGGACCTTTTTGTCTTTCTTGAAAGGGAGCTGTTTGAATGTGATATAGGTGGTCATGTCAAGAAGCGCATTTTGTTGAGGAAGCAACACAAAGTAGCTAGACTGAAAGTTTGTGCAATGCAGTGATACAGCACGTTGTTCAAGCTATCGCGTTGCTGTTTTTAGGCAGTATATGCTTGGTCAACCAAAGTTTATTGGAGAATGGGCTAAGCAATGCCAAGCATTGGAATTGAATAGGAGCAGCTGGATATGAATCCAGAGAAGTCTCCCGTGAAAGTCGATGACGCCAAGTCTTCATGCACTAGCGCTGCTCGTCGATCACCTGCAGGTCACCTTTTGTGGGGACACCCCACTAAGTATGAACAGACGAACAGGTGAGCCATGCTGAAAACCTCCCCCCGCGTAAGCTAAGACTGCGGTCGCGTAAGCTCTGCGTAAGCTTTGGCGTAAGCCAGACATTTCCAGGTTATGTCATATCGATGCTGCGTAAGCAAAGCCTGCAATGGCGTAAGGTGGCGTAAGCAGCGGCGTAAGCAACACCCCGGCGTAAGCTGAAACTGCGGTCGCGTAAGCGCGGCGTAAGTTTTCGCGTAAGGCAGTTCTTACGACATAGGAATCTATCAAGGTTTTCAGCATGGCTCAGGTGGAAAGAAGGTGAACCTATATTTTGCCGTGAAACTAAGGGAGTCAGGGTAGTGCTTCGGCGTCGCCTCCAATCTTCCAACCCTTTGCAGGGAAGTTGGCAACAGAGCGGGGCCGCGCCATGGCAACCCTATGCGAACTGGATGGTGCGTTCAGTGGGATAAACCAAGCATCCAGTTATCTAGTACACTCCCTGAAACCATCATGGGTAACCACCTGTTTGGTATTCGGCAAAGGGTCATCCGCTTGGTGATTAAGGGTTAGCAGACCAAGCCGCAGGGGTGAGCAATGGTCGCTGTTTTGTCCCCGCATTAGACCTGGTCGGTGATGTTCCAGGCGGTTGTTGATCATACTATGCACAGCTCTAGCTGCTTTTCTCAACTTTTGCCTCGACAGCGGGGCTGAATTGCGCACAAGAAGAAGCCAATCTGGAAGCCAAAGAACGCTCTGTCCAACAGGAGCATGATTCAACTATGATTCAACTGAATATACCTCAGATAACCTGTATACTGTATACCAAGATATACCAAGATATTCTCCATCTCTAGAAATGCAAACGTTGTTTTTGCCGAATATCACCACGCCGCGCCGCAATGATTTGCTGTACAACGGTCGACCCAACGGCCCTGGCCTCCGGACGCCAAGGAACAGCATACAAGCCCAGTTAATTGACATATATATTAAATATATCACATGGTGTGAGTTGATATAACCTTCCGATTTCTGCCCGGAGGCACACATGTTCCGGAGGCACAAAGACGTTACAAGTCCAGACAGAAAGCTTGCGCAAAAGGATGAACCGCGCCGGCGGCCCGTCATGGTCCACTCTTATGCCGGCCTTGCACCAGTACATTGCCTGTTGAACTTCCGGCTTCATCCCCTTCTTCATTGGACATGTGTGTTCTTGAAATAGAAAAGTTCCAAGCTGTGGTGCGCATAGGGTTGATCCGCAAGCGGTCTCTTGATGCAATTTTGGTACCTCTTCCGGCGTTTAATTGGATGCGTTTCAGTTTGGACATCCCTTGATGTAGCTTTCCGTAGTCTGCTTTTCACTGTATCATTCACCGAAAGGGTTATTCCGGTCCATGACTTATAGTTCAGGTTTCTTTTTGGTCGGACGGGCACTTGTATAGGTTCTTATTCCCTTCTTTGAGTACAGCTGTTCAACCAACCAGTGGTGATACTCGACCAACCTTCCCCCACCCGCTTCGGCCAGGGGAGTTTTACGGGGTGAACTGGCGGCGGCTCAATCGTGGTGTCGACCCCCTCCAGAAAATCACTCCACAATCGATCCTCGGGGTCCAACAACCCTCAAACAAAAATGAAAACGTGGCTGGCTCAGAGTTTGCTGGTCTATGTCCTCAGATTTACAACATCAAGTGCTTTCTTGTTTGTCAACTTGTTTTTGAGGATGCTGCCACCAGCGCACCTGCGAAAGCAGCTGCAGAAGGAGGTGGTGATGCTGGGTCTTTCACGAAGTTGACGCACGCAGCAGAAGCGTTTGCATCACATGCTGCGACACAAGCTGCTGGCCTCTTCTCCTACCACAAAGTCGAGGAAGAGAAGGCTCAGGACTCTTCTGTCTTCTTTATTGTTGACACAAATTGGCAAAGTTTGTGTCCAGTCCCTTGCTTCCCAGAGTTGTTTGACACCTGCGCGTTTTAAGAGTACATGTTTCATCCAGCAACTGTGCTGGGTGATTGTATTGTGTCAAGCCACGTACTGATATAACTCACTATAGCAGGGAATAACTGAAGATATATCATAGGATGTGGCCCGTACTATCAAGCAGCTGATTCCATAGGTGTCCAATGATATATCTCACTCACTTAGTCACAGTCCCTCATATTGGCCGTACTCATTGCTTGGGAAACCGAGGAGTCCAGAGCTACCCCAGAAAAGGATCTTGATTGAAAGCGGTTTGGGAAACAGTTCTGGACATGGATCCAAAATCTAAATCTAATCCGAATCTAAAACCTGAAACTTATTCTGAATAAGTATAAGTATAGCAATTGCAAGATATTTGATAAGAATGTGATTTGAGAAAGAGTGCTGGACGTGGATCAAGCATGCAAGACTTTCTGGACTGCAGCAAGAAGTGCAGAGTTTCCAGTCAAGCGTTCGGATGGTGTTTGTGTGTGTGCACCAAAAGATCTGGGTTTGAGACGCCCCTGGGTTGCCATGATACCCGGAATGCACTGGCACCCAAGATGTCCCTTAGATGGGGTCCATATAAACCACTGACATTGGGGATTACGCCATCTACTGTTAAAACCACTCTCCAGGAGCAGCGCGGTGCATGCTGCGCCCATGAGCCAAAGTCTGCTCAGCCTAGCGGAGCAGAGGTTGCCGGGTGGTGAACGGATGGTGAACGGAGGATGTTTGCGGGGTGGGCGAAGCGGCATGTTTCTACTAGCCACTCTCCATGAACCCATGGGTTGATAGATATATGATTATATTACATATGCTATGCGTTTGTTGGTCATGTGAATGTTTACCTTTACCTGAACATGAGAACTCTGACCCCTGAAAACCAGGCCACGAACCGGACTATCATGGCTGAGTGGATTGAGTGCACGCTCTTCAGAACCAAGAGTTGAAAGGACTCAGTAGACGCGAAAGAAAACCATCATATATTGTATTATACCGGGTGAGTACAGAACAGCGTTTGTTCGTTCACAATGTCAGGATGCTGCCGACGCACCTGCAAAAGCAGCTGCAGAAGGAGGTGAAGCTGGGTCTTTCACCAAGCTGACACACGCAGCAGAAGCGTTTGCATCACATGCTGCGTCACAAGCTGCTGGCCTCTTCTCCTACCACAAAGTCGAGGAAGAGAAAACCCAGGACACCTTGGTGTCCTTTTTAGTTGCGGTTGCGTTTGTATCGTTTCAGACGCAGAGAGAGAGAGAGAGCGCGAGAGGGAGTGCGAGAGCAAGAGCAAGAGAGAAAAGGAAAGACGGATGGATGGATGGACGGATAGAACAAAGGAGGACAGAAAGACCCCAAGTAAGACGCTTGAAGGGATATTTCCGCCCAGTGAGGATCCTGGCACAGCGGGACTGGCAGAGGCAGTGGAAAGTGGTTTGGCGGAGTGGACCCAGGCAACAGAGGCCTTCGCCACACAAGCTGCTGGTCTCTTCTCCTACACGAACGAAGAAGAGCAGGACACCTCAGCTTCGAGGTTTTGGACTGATTTCATCTGATTTGATGATACTTTGAGTGTCCCCTTCATTCTCACTATAGTTCCAGTACAGGTTCCAGTATACCATATATGGCTCACAATCATGTTCCATGGCTCACACGACGGCTGCCTGTTTGAAAAACCACCTGTCTCGCCTCCCCCGCGCCGGAGGAGCCCGAGCTCCCCGAGGGCGCGCGCTTGGCCGACGCGGCGGAGGCCTTCGCGACGCACTACGCCGCGGTGGAGCGATCGCCCGAGGGGACGGAGGCCGTTCGGCGAGCGGCCGTTCTCAGCGGGGACGAGCTCGTGGACGTTTGGGGGCGGGGGTCGGTGGTGGAAAGAGTTATACGGTGAGTATACAGTGAGTATTATAGTGAGTGGAGTATACAGAGCGCGGTCCTGTTCTTGTTCCGGAGAAGAATCTTGATCAATCTCAATGCTCACGAAGCACCTGTTTGGAAAGGGTGTGAACGTGGGGTCCAACAGAGGAAGACACAGGGAAGAGAACGATTGACATCACTATGTTTGGGAGTCAGGCAAAACATTTAACAGTGTTTTTGGCATTACGACGTATGCAACATGATCCCCAACTTTCAGTGATAAACCCTAGGGCTCAGTCGTGCCTCCTCAGAAGGTATTTGGACCCTCCTGGCACCCACCCCAGTCCCACCATCTTAGGGGCGAGGTCAGAGTGTTGAGGGGCGCTGGAAGGAAAAAGACCGGAGGGAGTGGAGCCCTTTATTGAATTAGTTGGTAGATGTATCAAGCAACAGAGCGGGTGAACAAGAACCCATGATTGCGCGAGATGTGGATTGTTCATGAGTCGCACAAAAGATCATGCCTCACTTGAATCTTCTCAAGAATGGAAGACGGGGTGGTGTGTAGCCATGTGTAGCCCATTTTGTGAATCTGACTTTGTTGATGGAAGCACATTAACCAGAGTGACCTGAGACAGCAATATATGTCCTGGTCAAATCCAAATTCAGATGTACTGCTCCTAATGATCATCCACGACCCCGCGCTCTCCGATCTATGCATACCTAAGTCGTTCTTTCATAGCACCATTGCCAAACGGGAAGGACACGAAGAAACACATACCGTCTAGGAAACCAATGTAAGGTAGTGATAAACTCTTTGTTCCTCCCAAAATCATGAAAAACAAGACATGTGGCTTCATCCAAGTCTAGATGAACTGCATGCCTTCTCCAAATGGATCTTACAATCTGGAAAAAATACACATCTTTTGACATTTGCACGACCTCACAAAAACCATGCATCCAAAAAGATCTTGTAATACTTTAGAATATCTTCCCAGGGCTTCAGGATTTCTTCAGATTGGGTTCCCTGATATCCCTTGGGACTTAGACCCAATCCCACGCCCCGCTGCGAGGAGTTTGCACGTCCGAGCTCTCCAACCTCCGACGACGTCCACGCAGAGGGCGAGGTCAGGGTGTTCAGGGATGGAAGGTAAAGGAGGTAAAGGAGCGGACGGGCAGATGGCTCACAATATCCAAGCAGCACCTGCCAGCAGCTCCCAGTTTGGATGGTGCTTGGATGGGGAGCACATAGTAGACCGGTCGAGGTGTGTGAGACCGGTGTCAGAGCTCTTTAAGATCCGGCGTTTGTCAGGTGCAGGATCCGGCGCTTCCGCTTCAACATCCTGCCAGTGAGGACTGGGAGAATTGGGCAGTGACAAGCAATCAAGATCAGATGTGACAACACTTTGGCTTGGCAGGGTTTGAAGTGCCAAGAAACCACCGCAGATTTGGCACCTAAGCATTGAAAGCGTTTTGGACATATTTTGACTATGAAGGAAATAGATGTAGGAAGTAAGTTGACTGCTCGTCTTGCTTCTGGAAAGTCATTTATTGCGGTTCTCACGTTCTCACTTGAAGAAGCGACGGAATCGGATCGCCCAAGCTTCTTTTTGTCGGAACTCGGAGTGACCACGGGGAACAAGGCCGAATACGGGCATCTCTCCCCTGCACGGGGCCACATGAAAGCCATATAACCACTGGTCCATTCCTTAGGTTCCATGTTCGTGTGTGGAGGCTATAATTAAAAAAAAGTATATGTTCTTTTGTTCCAAAGGCAAAGCTTACCCGAACCTTTTTCCATGCTTTCTTCGCCTCTTTAACCTGCTCTCAAAAACCAAGAACCATCAAATAATAGCGTGTTCTCAGTCTCGCAAGGTTCTTCTCGCTTAAAAAAGGGCCGAGGGAACCCCAGGAAGGGTCTTCAGTAGAAACCATAGTTTCGTCGATGAATACCCTGCCTGTCCCCGCAACGGTGAATGACCCAAGACAATACCTGGTATCCTTGACTTCGAGATCGGATGATTTCCAGGTACGGCATCCCAGTGCCCACCTATATGCCGTACCCCTGAGACGGGGAACTTCTATGAACTTCCATAGTGCCTCCAACCGGGTGCCTCCAACCGGGCTTCACGCATGCTACTACACACTCGCATGCCTACCAAGAGGGCACGCTTGTGCTATGGACACACCAAATAGACACATATAGGCACCCCTTAGCTTCTTCTTCGGGGGCTTTAACAAAAAGAACGCCTCACCTTCGCACAGATGCCACACGTGGCAGATCCCACGAGGACGTCCTGGAGTCGACTGCGGATCCCACGAGCACCGAATCCGCAGATCCAAAGCCCACTCAGCCGACCGACCAACCCCGCGATGGATCCTTGGGCGAACCCCGCGGAGTTCCCGCGCACCCCGCGGTTCGGTGAAGGTAAAAAAGGGGAAAAGCCTTGGGCTCCAAGAACTGTGGATGGAAATGAAAGGATTGGCCCAAAAACGAGAGAGCAAACATCCAGCGAAATCATCATTGGTTCGGGACTCCAGACATGTTGGAATATAGATGTGTGTTTTTTCTTGGGGGCCCGAGTAGTGATATCATGGGCGAAACAGTTTGCGAAAACGACCATCTTGGAGAAGAACGAACTTGACAGCTTCCTGGGACTACAAGATCTACAATACAAGAGTTTTTCCCCAGCTGCCGCTGTGAGGGTTGTTGGATTTTATCAGAGCTCTTCTTTTCCTCCTGGTCCTCCTCCTCCTCCTCGGCGACACCTCAACAGCAAGCGCCAGATCGCAGAGGGCACTACCGGACCCCAACCGCAAGTGCCGGATCGCAGTGGGCACTACCGGACCTCAACACACAACAGAAAAGTTGTTTGATGAGAGCGGATCAGAAAGTACCAATAAGTTTGATGAAGTCTGGGGACTGCATTTTAACACGGACGGTGTCACAGAGCATCTGCTTTTTGAAAGCGACTTGGCTCGAGAAGTGTTGGGCTTGCAATTTTGTGTGCAGTCGTGCCATGGCGCACCAGCCAGCTGTGGAGGCTGCTCCTATAGATGTGGTGGCTGTGGAACATCGGCCGGCCACGATTTAGATTGGGACGGAGGCTCACATGCGCAGAGGTGCTGCTCATGTTTGGCGTTATGAGCTGTGTTGGCAGGGCTGGTGACCAGTGCATCTATGTGTGCAATGCGCCACCCAGCACCACTTATCTTGCTTTTGCTGAATGCATTTTTTTGCAGGGACCAGCCGCAGGTGATGTCGCTATAAGGCTGTGAGTCCAAACCTGCCCAACCAAACCCTGGGAGGTTGACATCCCTTATGAAGGGATCGATTCATTTTCAGGAATCAACCAGGGTGCCCAACTTTTGACCCACAGCCATTCAGAAAGAACCTGCGTGAATCGTTTTATCCGTTCGAAACGTCGGATCGTCTCTGCGCCAGCCGCCGTTTGGTAGGGGTCAGGCAGTGTCAATCTACTTCAAATGTTGCAAAGCCGTTCCAGCAGAATATAGCTCAATCTACTTCACACTCTACTTCACAATAGCTCACAATCGTTTCCAGCAGAATTTAGCTCACAATAGCAACAATAACATGTCATGAGCAGCACATCCAAGATGTGATATGATAGAGCTGCCTTCAATATATATTTTGATTTCGGCGCGATGATCGATGGAAGACGCCATCAGAAAGCTCATCGCCCGGAGTCTCAATCATCACAGAGATAGAGAGAGAGAGAGAGACGGGGCGAAGGAGTTTTGTCCGAGTGTTGGGGTGTTGGTCATGGATCGTTTTCTCCGTATGCAACCGTAACCCTGCAACTCTACAATCTGCTCTTGGGGTGCTCGGATTGGAACGAAACCCTGGTGGTTGCGCTGGCTCGATCGAGCGGGCGATCAATAGAGAGCCATTCGCCGCTTTTCCACTCGCTTTTGCAATGCTCCACGGATGGGGTCCATTGGCGAAAGAGACGGAGCTTTCGAACATCGAGTGCGAACGGCTATCCGAGGCGCTTATGCTGATGGCTGTCCAGCGGATCAGAAAGCTTTGGGCAATTTGGTTTTGAAGCCAATTGGGCTTCCGCGTTGTGAAGATCGTGTTGGGGATAAAGCTCACTCCTTGCGATCTTGCTTGCGCAGACCTTGTGTTCGCATGAGCCCAGAGGCGCAAAGCATCATGACTGCGCTCTTGCATGGAAAACGTTCAGCCATCCAGCTGATTCACAATAGCGATGCCTTCAGGGCCTCAGGGACGCGTGGATGGAGTGTGGCAGCAAGGTTGGTTGCCCTTTGGCTGGAAGAAGATCTAACTTGGGCTCTGCGCGGCAGAGATTTGAAAGCGAAGCTAGACCTTTATGGAATGTGGCTGTGATGCCTGAAAGATTCCTAGCCACTTGTGTTGAAATAGCAAAGGAACGGGCCAACCGGAAAGAGGGGCAACCCATGAAGGAAAAACTTCGCCGGTTCAACGAGAAGGCTTTCATCTTGGCCGCTGTCCAGGCGGACGCAATCAATGAGGGCCTGAAGCTGATCCGGAAAGTTGACTGGTTTAGGTTGGAGTCTGAGAAGCTGCAGCCTGCACTGCATGAGTTCAAAAATGTATTGCAAGCGCTCTTTGGACACCATGGTCTTGCTTGGCAGCCAGACAACGCACAGGGATTGCTTGTTGGCCACGTGTACCAATTTCTTTCCACAGCCCGAATGGCCAATGTGACAGGGGAGAGTCAGATCATTGGTGGCCACACGCTGCATTCAGGGTGCGACTTCAAAAAGAAATGCACAGCTGGCTCTCTGCAGTGCTTGCTGGGATTGACGCAGAGTTTCCCTTCTGGGAGTGTTGCCCAAACTTCCAGATCTTCAATTTGGACCCATCTTTCCTGGCAGAGTGCAATTGGCGTAAGACCGCATCTTGCCTCAAGCGGCTTTGCAATCAGTTCAAGTTAGAAGAGAATTCGCTTGTCGAGCAGTACCGTGCTACATTTCCATTGGCCTGCAGACGTAGGAAGGCCCTTGCTGGATCAAATGTTGCTGTGTGGCGTGCAGCCATCGAAGGAGTGGAGTCCAGAATGAAAATGGGAAGTTGCCCTGGCTGCAAGTTACCTGATTTGCGACAGTTGCTTGCCCTTTGGCAGTCATTGATGTTTTCAAGCTGTGGAACAGAGCACCTGTTCAGTCAGCCAGAACGTCTTTTCCCTGCAAGGCAGACACGGCTGGCCACATCGAAAAGAAGATCGGAGCTGACTCTCATATTTGGTGAGACCCCTCTTCCAACTTTGGCAGAAAAAGCTTCTTCCATCTGGACCAAATGTTACAAGGGATCACGGCAGTGCAAAGTGATTCGCCGGGACAAGAACATGGTGAGGGGCCCAGAAAGCATGTGTCCTCATTGTCATTGTCGATTGAGAGACGCCGGGTCAAGGCAGTGAGGAAGGCCATCAAGAAGTTGAAACCTGGGGAAGACAGCTTCATAGCAGAGCATATCCATGCCTCGGCCGAGGTGCGCTTTCAAAAGGCCAGGTTGGCGGGGAAATCTTATGAGGCCTCCAAGCAAGGCTTGCTTTTGCCGGATGATCTGCAGTGCTCGAAGGTGAAGAGCTCCTTGAAGCTTGCGCGTTCCATGCTAGCCAAGCAGAAAAAAGTCAAGAAGGCCACCAAAACCAAGCTGATCCCAGCTCCGCCGCGGCCTGGATCAGCTCCGCTTGCAAAAGGGCCGCTTCGAGGGGCATGTCTGCGCAGGGCTGGTGCCAAGGTGCAGCACATCTTCATCGACAATATTACTCAGGGCGTCCAAAGGCAACATATCAAATCTCAGTTTCCTGACTCAACCTTTGTTGAGAACATCTTGGAAGCAGACTTGATCTTGACAGCCACATCAGAGCAGGCATCAACAAGAGCCCAAATGGTATTGCGGTTGCTTGGATGTACCTTGATGGACGACACTTGTTTTCAGGGGCCCTCTGATGGCAAGAAGCCCCTCCAAGTGAGGTTTGCTCCCGCTGTGGGTGTGAGACGTTTGTAGATCTACTTTGATGTGGCCTTGCAGGGAATCTCTTTGTATCGCTTACTGAAAGGTGCCTCACACAAGCCATACTCCCAATGGACCATTGTTTCAGATAGGTCCGCCTATGAGAGGTGGCTGAAACACAAGCCAAAATCTTGCTTTCATTTGATGACCACTTCCCAGTTCCAAGGAGCTTGCGCCAAGGACGGTGAGGCTACTTTGAAGAAACGCAATGTGATCTCTACAGGCATCGAGCGGGATGCATGTTTCCAGCAGGCCTTCGGGTCACTTTCTCAAGTTTCATCAGTTTTTTCTTGAGTCGCTTCACCACGCCAGGGCACACTTGCCGGCTCCTACCCTTCCTGTAAGAGCTCTCCTGCAAGAAACAAAGGTTTATTCTATTGGGAAGCTTGCGTAGGCAGGCTCATGATGTGAAGCCAAACAGCTTCTGCAGCACGTTTCTATAACGTTTCTGCAGCACGCCTCATGTCGAGGTTTGAAGAAGGTAACACACTTACTTATTCAAAGGTGACATGTCCGCAGCATGTTCATTTGTGTTGCTGCGCTTGTTTGCGAGGCGTTGTCCACAGCAAAGCTGATTTGCTGTGCTTGTTTGAGCAGCTTCTCACGATGGCTGTCATCAAGGCTGTGGAAAGCCGCTGCAGTTGTTTGAAGTTGTTTGCTGTCACTCAGATGGCTCGCTATCGCAAATAGCTTGGTGAAGCGCTGTGCGTTCCGCCTCCTACTAAGAAAGAGGGCTCCATTTTTGGAACGCTCCGGACACCAATCAAGGAAAGCTGTGGATGAGGGCAAATCATGTTTTCGTCATCGATCCATTGTAGTGTGTTCTTTGTTCAAGTATATGTTTCTCTTCTTCCGGCCAGACCTTGCAATGAAAAGTAGTAGTCGTGAACGATGCAAGGCGTTTGCCAAACGTCAGGTCCGTGAGCCAGTTGAATCCCGACTTGTGGTATGGTCGTATCCTCTCAGCGCACCTTCTGGCACATGTTTTTAGCCTTAAGCCTAATATACTAGAAGTGTGGGGCCTTCTGGGCAGACTTGTCTTTGACCCACCGGAGGTAGCGCCGTGGTCCCGGAACTCATGACGGCTTCTCCGGCCACACGGAGAGAGCGGGCGGGTCGACCTAACAACGGATTTGTTGGGGAGGGAACGCACGGTGCCGTAGAACCGGTTGACCAAGTAACACAAAGAACTAGATTGTTTTCAGAGTTTGGTTGCGTCACAAAAATCCAACAACAGGACCACAGACGCCTCTTCTGAGGAAATTCCATTTGGCCAGGTCCTGCTTTCAGATGATCCTGCCGTCGTGCCTTCGACCGAAATGCAGAAACAGACTGGAGCATAATTAATTTGTTTTCGAGTTTCTCGTGCAACCGTGCTAGGAGACCTGACTCAGACGACTAATTTAATATTACACTTGGACCCAGCCCTCATCGTATACTTATATCTTCTTAAATAAATATATACATATATATATATATGAGAATTTTTGTCCTACGGCTGGTAAGGGGCCGAGAGAACTCTGCACGATTGTTTGGCACATGTATCAGACAATAACAGACACGCACATTTCATGGGAGCTGCAAGATTAGTGCAGTCGACTACGCAAAAGGATATCACACGCACTCTATAAGAGGTTTTGCCGCTCGCTCTCTCTCTCTCTCCCTATATATATATATACATATATTTATTTATTGATATTTTTTGGGGGGTCCTGTATGTCGACCGTATTCCGGGTCCTACTGGACCATCGCCCCTCATAAACGGCGGAGAACTTGGCCGCCTTCTTCCGAAGGCCTTGAAAGACAAACGATTGCAGTGGAAGGCTGGACGCAGCCGCAACGAATTGCATAGCACGCAGCCTTCCAAGAGACGCCGCACGAGACACCTGTAGGGGGGGGGGGCAGGGCGGTCGAAAAATACGAAAAATGCCCGTGCCAGGCGAAGCACGCCAAGGGGATGCTCCAGGGGACACGAGCAATGAAAAAAGAGCGACGGAGAGCGGAAGTCCATGAGAAGTCATGGGTCATGACCACTTTTTTTCAAACGCCTTAAGCTGTGGTCTATGAAAGTTGTGTGGTGGAACAAAGCAACATGCTCCTCACCATGGCATGAAGACAAGGGATTGAAATGTCATGGCAGGGATCACTCGAGGTATAATAATTTGCTTGTGCATTCACAGAAGTCACCTCGGTCAGGGTTTCATGATCCGGGGGACATCCCTAAAGGCTTGCTGCAAGTGACCCCCAGAGATGACAAAGCGGACTGTTCCTGGCTCGACCGGTCAGTTTGCACAATCATACAAATCCGCAGTCAGCCAGTGGGTAGAGGTCTTTGGAAGGGATATGTTTTCCGCAAGAAGATCACGTCTTTTTTGATGAAGCTGCCCAGGCGCTCCAAACAGGCTTTGGTCCCTCAAAACCAATCCCGGATTGGTTCGGGTCTGGACCCCTCCAAAGGATTCGGGTATGGCCCCTACTTAGGAGGGTCCAGTCTCGCGTTTGGCTGAGAGAGTTCAATCGATCACCACTTTTTTGGCCGGTCGTGTCCACCTCATCCCTTCGGCCGCATGGACCGCGTCCCGGCTCCTTAGGGGACCCGTTGATCTGAGGAAGTGTCAGCCAGTGGACCAGGCTCACGGAAACGGTCTCCCAAGCCACGTGGACCTTCAAGGCCAGCCACCGAAACACGTGTTTTCTACCCATGGGGGTCGACCAATGGGTAGACTGGTCTAACTCCTAATACCGACCCCACGGGGTCAGGACGGTTTGGGGGAGGTCTTCTTATTTGCGCTATGCACATAGAATTTGGGTCAAGGGCCCACAAAATCGAGATGGTTCTTTCTTGGAGGACTTCAACATTTTGAAAACTAGGATGGCGTTTTGATGCGTTTTGGAAGGTTGTTGAACTTCAATGGAATCATTTTGTTTCAACCTCTCCGTGTTGGTTTCACTCGGAAATGTCCAAGACTGGCCAATTGACCATCCAAGCTTTGGAAACCATAATGGCAAAGCACTCCGTATTCCGAGACGCGCGTATGCTGTTTTTGGTGCCAGGAATCGGGCTCACAGCTCACAGCGTCCCAAGGTGCGAACCTGCGAGGGTCGAGGCGGAAAGGGAGCACCCGGAACCCGGTTGCCGGTAGGTTGAGTTCCTGGTTGGTTAACCAGGGTCACCCGGTTTTGACCCGAAGATGTTCGGAATTCGGAACCTCAGCGAAGTTCATAAAGCATGATTTTGATGGGCGTCGGGGTTCTTCATATCAACATCCTGGTTCAACCCTTGCAAAAGGTTTGTGTGTGCTTTTGCTCAAAACCATGAGATGAATTTTGGACCAAAGAATGGAATGACACCCACATATAGTGTTCATATGTTTTGATTTATTATATGATGTATAATGCATGTGTATATATATACAGTATACATGTTTTTTGTCCTTAAACGGGTTATTCCAGCTTGAACAAGAACACACAAAAGAAAAAACACCCAAGGACCAGGACCTGGCCGAAGTGACCTCTTTGGAGTCTCTGTTTGTGACCTCTTTAGAGACTAAGTGACCTCCTGGGATCTCAACATGTCCCTTTGAAGGTCCTGAGAGAAATCTTTGGTTCATCCCGATCTTTGATCCATTCTAAACTTCATGGCCTGGATACATCAAAAGAGCTGATTATTGGTCTGCATTGATTTCCTGTGGTCAAACGACATGACCCCACAGGATAGCAGGAATTAGTTGCTTCCATTTGTGAAGGGTTTGGATGGCTGAATTCAAGCATTCATCATGTACAGGCATTGCGCTTAGATGCTTTGTACGCTCATGAACGTGAAAGAAAGGTTTGGATGGCACCTCATTTGCGAGAAACAACTCATTGTGCAACCGGCCTGTTTTGTCTACCAACCGGCCCAGTGGGCAGCGCGTTTGGAGTGTGGCCAAGTGGCGATGATGAGGCCTTTTCACCAGTTTCGAAGAAGCCTGGGGGCGGCTCGCGTTCAAACCACAGGAGATGTCCGGTTTGGCAAGGGCCGCATTGCCGCATCGCTGCCGGTGCATGGTGTTAGGACATGATGTTTTAAATGATATCCCACGGTTTTTCGAAGGATTTGTAGCAAGGGGGTCATTAGTCATTCTTTCCCTGTTGAACACCAGCCACAATTGAACGTTGACTACATCACCCGTTCTGGGAAGGATTATGTTTCATTATGTTACCATGTTTTCCTGTTTTTCCACACCGATTCTTTTGGCAAGAGAATCTATATATACAAAACAACAGAAAGATTGCAGCAGACAGTCCAATGAATCACATTTGGTTGCCTTTCAGGTGCTAAGCTTGCGATTGTTTTGGCACTAAAAACATGTTATTGCGTCATTGGAAATCCTATATATGTGTGTCGTACAAGCAGAGAGTAGTTAGAGGTTTGGATGGGCCACATCCAATTGTATACACCCCATATCCCATCATTTGCGTGTGTTTTGTTCATTCGCAAGGCATTCAAACAAACGGCGGTCCCAGAATTCAACCAATCGCCCCAAGGTTGCTCACCCTTTACGTTCGGAAGTCTCCAGTTCCGCTCGTGCGAGGCTGGTCCACCGTTTTCATCTATAAGTCAAAGACTTTGTTTTACTGAAGTTGGTCATACAAAAGCTATATTTAGAAAAAGAAACAAAAACAACACTACGTATATATCTGTAAAAGACCAGGTTTTACTGGGCCAGACTGGACTTGCAGCGATTGGACTTCTCTCCGCGCTCCGACCGGTAGGAGTCCACCGTTCCGCCGTCCAAGTCCGGCATCGAGCTGACGACAGGCGTGAGCGACCTCCGGTGGCACCGGTGGAGGTCCAATGGAACCATTATGGTTTTATGATGTTTAATGGAACCAATGGAACCAAGGTTTTATGCTTTTTCCCATCCAATGGAACCAATGGAACCCTTCATAAACCTCCGGTGGTTTTTGTTCTTGGACATTGGTTTTATGAAGGGTAAACCCAACGTAATTTATTGGTTTTATGAAAAGAAACAACAATTATTGGACCATGTTTGTGAATGGTTTCTGAGAAAACCATGCTTTATGAAAACCCAAAGTATTGGTGCTATTGAGGATTTCTCTACCCATGTTTGTTTCTCAGAAATGGGTTCTCCGTGATGGGTCTTGACCCGGAAACGATGCAGGACACCCAAACGGACCAATATTGGGGTTCCAAGCACGGTCTGTGCCGATGTTTCCTTAAACCATTCATGGATGGTCGAGATCGACCAACATTGAACTTTGACAGCACACTACTTGTAGTAGGAAGAAGGCAGGGTCCAATGACTTACGAAACAAACAAATGCTGTGGGCAACCTGCTCGACCAACAGAAACGAGAACATGCATCATGTCCTTGCCTTTTCATAGTTGTGCTGGTGTGCAAGACCTGAGCAACTATGGCCGGCGACCAGGTGCTATAGAGCAAACGTGAACAAAAACAATAATATTGAAACAACATATTAGCTTGAAGCATGAACATGCTGTGAACCAACCCTGGGTGGACTAGATGGTCATTTTGACTGAAAGTGAGATCAGTCAAGAGTATGCAACAGCTAGAAACAATCAAATCAAGCACTTTCCCTGACAACAGATCCGAACAGTCCATACTAATACAGGGTGCTCCAGGAGACCCAGCTACAAGATGTAAAATGACATATTTAGCCCAGCTTTGCAACCAAACAACAGGTAGGAACTCGATTGACTGGGATTGTCCAACCCTTCCAACTACGTGTTGCTAAAGCTCCCAAACCGAACCCAAATCCAATTGCTAAATGCAAAGTGGGCTGGGGAGGAGCTAGGGAGCACAAACGGGAGCAGGAACTGGGTCCAGGAGCTAGGGGGGCAAGACGAAGGAAAGCGCATCAGAGCTGCAAAACGTTGTTCCCAGAGCACAAGGGCTGGAGCTTGCATCAGGGTTCTCTCAACCGTAAGAGAAGCAGAGTCCTCAAGGTCGTCATCCTCAGTCGAAGCATAGGGCGAGGTAGCCCCACGTTCCGTGAGGTCCAAACGAACACCATGCCGAAAAAGGACGCCAGTGACGCATGAAACTGATCCTAACTACTATAGCAAGAACTTGCTCTAGCTTCTTGGGCCCCTGTCTAATTGCGATTATGCATGCCTTTGGCTCCTTAGTTTCTTCAATGAGCACCAGCTAGCTAAGCTTATGCGTAAAAAGACAGAATCGTAACGGAGACGGAACACACACCACAAGTGTAACAGTGCAAAATGTCCTGCTAGGTGCGCGCAGCTTCTTTTGGCCTTGCTGCGCCTAAAGCATGTTTAATGCTGCGGAGAACGAATGCTTCCCAACGGGAACACAAGGCACACCACGAGTGCAAAAGCTGCTGCCAGCAGGCACGTGCACATGCAAAATGTGTTGCGCCAAGTGGAAAAACGTGGAAACGCTGATTCGTACCGAGCTCGACAAGGCTACCAGGTTCGGAGGCGTAATCCCGAGTAATTACCTAGTTTAAAAAATCGCACACACAAGTTTCTAAAAAATGCATGTCGGAGACTCTCCGTAAATATAGTTGATATATGTTTTTTACATTGCCGCCTTGATAAACACCACTAAACCACAAGCATAGGTACATTTGTGTTGATAATTTATTAGATGCCCACTGCCCACTAATCACCAACAACCGTGGCCCTCACTATCGCCACGCCGCATTTACATGCACAGCCTTCCCCCAATGGCACAGAGCCGCACAAGCCGCATGGCACAGCGACATCACCTTTCAAAGTGTTTAGTTGTTAGTCTTGTGAAACAGTCTATATAAGTGAAGACTGTTGAAGAATCACTATTTTAACAAAGATGTTTTTGCAAAGGGAGGAGAAAGACCTTTGATCCGGATGTTTTTTCAATTTTTGTTACAAGTTTAACTAAGGGTTCTATAACACTTCCTAGGCGGCTTTTTGGTTTTGAAGATCTTCCTATAGGTTTCCTTCTTTGGGGGCCCCCTATTTGGGGGACCCCCTATTGACAAAGACGACGCCGATGCTTTTTCAATAGGGATTAGCTGTTTGGACTTTCACCCCTGCAAAACGAAGTGTTGCGTTACCGCGGGGACAAGGTGCTCAACTTGATCCCAAAAGCCGAAGTTGGCGGAGCCAAGGACAGGCAGGAGAATTTAAGCCTTCCCCTGTTCTCTTAGCAAACGAGGCCTGGTCGCTGTAGATTGGCCTTCCACGGCTGCAGATTGGCCAAATGACCAGAATCCTACGACTCCAGCCGTCATTTTGCACTAATGTTTGATCCTAATTAGTAAGCGGGCCCCCCCTAGCAAACAATCCAGGGGGACTGAAGAGTATCACCGCCACCAAAAGAAGTAGTAATAGTAGTAGTCGTAGTGGTAGTGGTAGTCGTAGCAGTAGCAGTAGCAGTAGGAGTAGTAGTAGTAGTAGAAGAAGAGATAAGTAAGGATTTGAAAGCGCAGCTATAGCAGAACAATAATAAAGTCATATTTTTACCGTAGGGCTCCAAGTTTGCTTATTGATCCCACCCCCTGAACAATTCATACTATTCAATTACCCTGTGCTTGTGTACTAGTCCCTTGAAACATTGTCTAAACTGTTTAGAGCAATGAAATCGTTGAGTTTTTATAAGCGTTTTTGAAAACGACTTTCAGGTCAGAATTCCATGAATCAAGCAAACCTCAGGAGAGTTAAGTAAGGATTTCAAATGGCAGCTATAGCAGAACAATAAAAAAGATTTTTCCCGTAGTGCTCCAAGTTTGCTTATTAATCCCACCCCCTAAACAATTCATCAATTAATCTGGGCTTGTGTACTACCCCCTTGAAAAATTGTTTGGAACAATGAAAGCGTTGAGTTTTAAGAAGCGTTTTTGAAAACGATTTCCAGGTTAAAAATCCATGAATCAAGCAGACCTCGGAAGAGTTAAGTAAGGATTGCAACGGGCAGCTATAGCAGAACAATAATAAAGTTAGATTTTTCCCGTAGGGCTCCAAGTTTGCTTATTAATCCCACCCCCTGAACACTTCATACTATTCAATTACCCTGTGCTTGTGTACTAGTCCCTTGAAAAATTGTTTAGAGCAATGCAATCGTTGAGTTTTTATAAGCGTTTTTGAAAATGACTTTCAGGTCAGAATTCCATGAATCAAGCAAATCTCAGGAGAGTTAAGTAAGGATGTTAAAGTGTGAGCAATAGCAGAACAATAGAAAAACAAACAAATTAAAACAAAGACACTGGGTGAAAACACTTTTTATTATTCCGACCCATTAAACTATTCAGGGTGTGAGAGTAATTCGGCGAAAACTTGTTATTTGTCCGTCCCATTATACTAATTGGATTCAACATTATGATGGTGGCCAAGCGCATGAACGAAGATATTTCAGGTCCTACGCGCGTCTCCCACGTGGCACATGAAAACCGACCAACCTTTGTGGGACAAAACCCACGCTGAGGCAAAATCTTTCTGGGATGCCCACAATGCTCCTCAACCCAACTTTGTTTGATGAAGAGATTCGGGATCAGACTTCAACGCTCAACATGTTTTGCTGTCGGAGTTGGCATGGCTTGCCAAATCAGGGTGCAATCTGTACAACTATAGCCCCCACGCTTCAGGAGTTCCTGTCCAACTGCGAGTGGATGGGCCTCGCAAGATTGAGACAAACAATTCGATGGCTGGGTAGCCCAATGTCCATCGTTTTGTTCCGCGCGCAACTACCGAAACAAACACTCCACTTCACATAGTATACGAGAGGACGACGAGATGAGGTGGCAAACACGACGAGGCGACACCACCGAGGCCTGCGGAGAAGACAAAGACTACATCTACAAACACTCCCTGCTCATCTTCATCCTAAAACGGTCAGCCAACCCATAGTGAAGTGAAGGGCAGTCACGCATAAGAGGCAAAGGTTGATGGATTGAAGAGGTCTTGAGTGTGTCCTCCGCATCATTTTGTCACACTCAAGCGTAGCCTTCATCTCCAAGTCACCACATCACAGCGTCGCGATGACAGTTGGGGCGTCTCATTGTGGTTCTTCCTGCGATTGTTTGTGGCGCTTTTCGACCTGCCATCGGACGAAAGAGAGAAAAGCTCCGATCATTCAATCTCTCTGCAATTTCAACGGTCACCTGTCCAGCTCCCCCCGCAGACAGTGTGCAACACGGCCTTTTCATGAGGAGGAGTTTGAGGTGATCCTCAACAGGATCTGGGGAGCTGGACTTGGTGACATACTTCTTCGGTATCGTGGTTGCTAGAGTGCCACAGTTTGAGGTGTTTTCCTTCATCTCAATTGGTCATTGCAACACATCAATGGATTTTGATAATATATAGACGCCTGACATTGAAGGCATGCATGTGCTCGAATGTCCAAGCTACGCACCCGCATCTTCAATGTCCTCTTTTACGCATTTCACCGGAATTATGTAAGCGTCTTGTTCTGTTGAAATCTGTTTTGGGGCATGACTATTGACTCTGCGTGGGCAACCTCCAAGATTAGGTCATATCAGTACAAACTGCTACTTCCACACTATGTTGTACCTTTTTCCCGAAAGCATTGCGAAGGGTTCTTCCGGAAAATCCCTTGAACACTGACACTTCGACACTTACACTTACACACTGACACTTCCACCACATTTGCACTACATACACTGACACTTCGACACTTACAGTTACACACTGACACTTCCACCACAGTGTAAGGGGAAGAGCGAAAGCATCCAAGTGCAAAGTATGCAAGTGTCAAAGTATGCAAGTGTAAGTATGCAAGTGATGGGTATGCAAGCACGCAGTGTAAGTATGCAAGT